TTTCAGTTGTTGTCTTTTCATGCGGTACTCCAATAAAGACACATCGTTTAGCTTTTTCTTGCAGAATTGCTGCATCAGTGTGAATGACGCGTGCGACGGTGGAGCAGAGGTTAGATGGTTGATTTTGCGAGGCCTTGGTTGATAGCGCTTCGGCGAGTGAATTAGTAGCCGTGATAATTAGTAGTCGTGATCCAGTCTTGACAGTATTTGTTCGTTATGAGTTGTAAACATGGTTTTTAAACACTCGGCAATATTGTTGGCAACGAGAGAGGCGAGGACCTTTGCTAGTACATTTAAGTCGAATGGAAATGAATTATTTGGTGCCAGGATAGTTGATTTAGCTGATAGCAGTTGATTTAATATTAATATTAATATTGATATTGATCCGGAGCAGTTGATAATAGTTCATTTGAATATTATATTGACCCAAAGCAGATATATAGCGATGATCATTCAGGAAAATGTTCATTTCATTTTGACTATTTCTTATTGTTAGCAAGAAGTTGGTTGGTCAGTTCTCTAGTTTTCGATTACTGCTCTCATAGTTTTACGTGTTGACTATTCACTGAGGTCTTCTATCCATACACCCATCGCTAAACAAAGGTTTCCGACCACTGTCAATAGCGCTGATCGATTCTCGCTAATCTTCAACCCGAGCTCAAGCCTGAACCTAAGCTTAGGCCGAGGCTTTCTGAAGACTGAATGAAATGATAAACATGCAATTAGTGAGGATGAAAACTAAGGCACTGTTCATCAACCTGGCACTACTACTGTCATTCATGGCGCCTTACCTGTTGAGAAAAATCTGACTCAAGTTCGATTACCGCAGCGTCGCATCGCATTGGTCACGATTAGCATTTGTACGAGACCTCGGCAATACCGAATACCGGTGTTAGAAAAGCGATATTGATATTAATAACAATCTCGGCATTGAGAAAATTGTCGATGTTTTGCAAGCAGTAATCACGATCTAATTGTTCTTCATCCTCCCTCTGCTTGTGGCGATTGACTCCTAGCAGATTCGAATTTGAAATGGGCGCGAAATATTACAACAATGCAATAATGCAAGCCGAAGCATATCATCGTAATTAATGCTTATCTCTGAAATATGCTCCGAATTCGTTGAGCTGAGAGACTGGATTTTGTGACTTGCCTGCCTCATGTGGTCGTTCTGATTCACTTCANNNACTAACTGCGAAATTGATTATGTGAAATTGCAACCTTATCTTGGACTGCAGCTGATGGTAATAAAAAGAAGCTCAGCACAGATGTTGATCGATTCGGGAAATGTTCCGAAAACTCAACGAGACGTAAAGAAGATTAAAGAAGGGGGAGATGCTGAGTGTGACCAGACCGCTCCTCCAAGGTAATTTAATTGTGATCAAGTGATCAGTTTTACTTTCTTCAACATTCACATTAGATATCTGCTCAAAGAATGATTGTTCTCACAAAGATCTATTTTTATCCATCGTCAACAACATCCGTACACGGCTGAGTGCATGTCCTAGGCTCGCTATCAACAATTTTATGTCACTGCACCCTTATTATGATAGTAACAATTTTCAGACGTACTTTTACGCTTAAAGACTTCGATATTGGCAAACCATTGGGCAAAGGCAAATTTGGGAGTGTTTATTTAGCACGAGTCAAAGGGGTGAACTTCATTGTTGCCCTGAAGGTACGTCTAACGTCTTTCACTGCTTCGTAAAATGATGATCTTGTTGCAATCTTACTGTTTATTACATCGTTGATTCTGTTATCAAACAATTGCCCATGTAAAAAACTATGCGAGCTTATCTACACTGAACCTCGGTTTTGTTTTGCTTGTTCATCACTCATAACTGTGGCTAGTTTTTTTTGAATTACGAATTAGCTTGAATTATTTTTGACTTCGGGACTCGAGAAATTCCACACAAAAATAGGTTCGTAAAGACTGTGAATTAGTTTTCGCGAACTTATTTTTGTGTAGGACTTCTCGAATTATCTACTTCAGTGTATTTATTGAGTGATGTTCACGTTGATGAGATTGAAATCGTAGTTTTCTATTAACCCGTTATTGATATTCATCGGAAACTCGTGGTGCTTCAGATCTTCATTTGACATCACCGGTGTAAGTAACCCTGATCTGTTGAGACCTGCTGTTGAACATTAAGAGTAAGCTTGAAAGTCTTTATGTGGTGGAGCCGTGTCGACATTTGGTACCACTTTCAGATACTTTTCAAATCGCAGTTAATGAAAGCCAATGTCGAGCATCAGCTGAGACGCGAAATCGAGATACAAGGACATTTGAGGTGAGTGCACCTATCCTCATGAGGCACTGTGCAGCTTGGGTTCTCTTTGTGCTGGTACCATTCATACACCATCCAGAAATATTGTAAATGAAATCATTTGGGTGACCGAAAGTGGACTTTCACCAGTCAATCCGATAATGTATTGCATTTAGACATCCTCATATTCTGCGTCTTTATAACTATTTTGATGACGAAAAACGTATCTACTTGATTCTGGAATATGCGGAACGGGGCGAATTGTATAAAGAACTGCAGAAATATCAACGATTCGAAGAAGAGCGCGCTGCCAGAGTACGTGTTTTTTTTGTTTTTTTAATAATCCGTTTTTTGTTTTTGATTAACGTTTTCTTTTATTGATTATCTGTTTTCAAACGTTCACGAAGAACTAAAATGATATTTCAAGTAAAATTGTTTTCGCGGCTTCTTTCATCTAATAACAGCAAAATAATCGATGATTCAGTTGATGTTCCAAATGGCCGACGCCCTGCAGTATTGCCATGAAAAGAAAGTGATACATCGTGATATTAAGCCCGAAAACCTTTTACTTGGTCTTCAAGGTGAACTGAAAATTGCCGATTTCGGATGGTCTGTGCATGCACCATCATCAAGGTTTGCTTATTCAAAACCTTTCAGGATGAACAACAATTATTGAAGTTTAGGTTTGAGACAAGTAGTTGAGTGCAGTATTGGTGATGTTTTCAGAGGAACTGAATGAATGTATCGGAGAAATCAAATTTTAATTACGATTTGAATTTTACGTTGATGTAATGGAATGAATAGATGAGTTGGAATTTGATATATCCATGAAAAGTTATATCCATGAAAAGTTTTGCGAATTTCCGCTTAGTCATTCACCAATGCTACGGTTCAAATATCAATTTCAGAAGAGCTACAATGTGTGGAACATTGGATTATTTACCTCCTGAAATGATTCAAGGAAACGATCATGACGAGAAGGTTGGTGTTACAATCGGCTATTATAAATAAGATAAATACGCTCATTAATAAACAACGAGAATATAGTTTTCGGTTTAGGTGGATTTGTGGTCTTTAGGAGTTCTGTGTTATGAGTTTTTGGTTGGTCGACCACCATTCGAGAGCAAGACGAATTCGGAGACTTACAAATTGATCATCAAAGTCAGATATGACTTTCCACCACATGTTTCTGGCGAGGCACGTGATCTCATTTCGAAGGTACTCATATTTTGATAGTACGAAAAGATTCATTCATATCTTATTGCTTCATCATGACATTTATTTATTGAACGCATGAGCGGTTCATTTGAAGCGAGACTGGAATTGTTTCTGCTTTCGTTCGAATGACTCTTCGGTTTTTGTTTTAGTTGTTAAAAAGGCGACCCGACGAACGACTTTCATTGAAAGGCGTAATGCAGCATCCGTGGATACGTCGATATGTCGACAAGAAACGAATTTGAATGCATTTTACCTAATTTATCACTGATCTTTATTGGTCATTATTTGACGATTATTATTATCGGTACGATTATTTCTTTGTGTTACTATAATTATGTTTTTGATATTGTCATATCTATTTCAGTCGTTGTGTGAATTCAAATGACGATTTTATTTGATTATCCTGAATCATCCTTCTTCGCCATCTTTACCCTTAATATTAAAATGATCTGTGCATCGATTTTCTTTTATATTGTATGTATGTCATCTCATATTGTGCCGCATTTTCTCTTTCCAACGAAACTCAGTTCGATTATTTTCACTTTAATTCTATTGATATTTTAGCCCAACTTACGAAATATATCTTTGATGTCATGCGCTTATAATTTAATTCTTATCATTTAAAGAATTTGTTTATTTCGGAATTTAGAGTCATGGATTACTGTTGAAATTTTTGGTGATTCTGCAGAATTTGTAGCGCAGTTATGTCGTCGAAGAAATGTATTCGTTTTCGTGAAATTAGTAAATTGCATGGCTCTGTATTGTTTCAGTGCGGAATGATACTATTTCAATGAGATGTCAAAAGTCTTCGTTTGGTCTTTCACAGTAGGAAATTCTAGAACCGTGAAGCTTTGTTCATTCGTACGTGTGACAGTAACGTTCATTATTCATGTTTAATCACATTATTGGCTATAAGTTTTTCTTTAAGATCACATTTCTTGAAACGCTTCGCTTTGTTTAAGCTCTCGTACTCGGTGTGAAGTACACATGTTAACATCGTGTCACGTGGTCAATTAGTTGAGGTCTAATGCTTACGTCTGACTCTGAATCTGATTATAAACTTTTCAACACCCTATATTCATTTGTTAGCAGTGTATCGTTGAATTTTCAGTATTCTTGTCTTGATGAATAGGAGCACTTAAATTTTCTGTTTGTTTGTTTCATCAATATCTTGACTACCTGTTGGGAATACTGTGAAGGGATCACAACTTTTAAGATTGTTTATCCAGTGTAGCTCTCATCGTACACTTCCGAACGCATTTTCGGACAAAAAATTAAAAACGTTTATTGATGAGTAGAGCTTTTGTGAACATGATGCTCATGTTGAAATGAATGTGGTTTTGAAGTTGACAATCAATAGCCAGGTGGAGTACGTGGCGCGGGACAGTGATTACAATCTCCATCGGAACCTAAAACATATGGTAGTTTCAAAATTCATCATAATTGTGACATGAAAATCTTTCAGAAGAGTTGTAGCGCTTGTCTTATTGAAACAATTCCCATTGGATTAATCAGTAACTAAAAAGAACAAGAAATGTGCTATTCAGTTTTACATTCATTAAGTATGAGCATTACGAATCACTTCCTTGTATATTAACTGAGACATAATTAACGTCATTTTATTGACGTAACTGATTGAGAGAATGACTGAAACCTCTCATGAGGTATAAAATAGATCTTCGGCAAATCATAGACTCTCTTCAACAAAAAACTCAAACTGAAAGGCAAATCTTCAAAAATGATACCTTTTGGCCCGGTTGAACCTTGTGGCCCTCTGCGACCCTTCTTCCCATCACGACCCGGTGCTCCAGGCTAAAATTTATTGCGAGTATTATTTTCGGATTGAAATTCGATCACCATATGTCACCTGTTTGCGGTGCTATTTGTAAAACGAGATGTGGCTCAAAGAATGTTTCGTTGCACCTTGTGAATGCCAAATACGACTTTTTTTTGTTGAAATGTTTTTGTTCAACTTGAGCGTGATTATTCTCATATACCCCAGAGAAATGAGAGCTACTTACCTCTCCAATTGGTCCTTGCGGACCTGGAATACTTTGTCCGGGTGGTCCCTTATATCCTGGAATGCCCTTCAATCCCTGGGGACCTGGCTTTCCAGGGCGTCCTACAGGTCCATCGATTGCAGTAACTCTACCATCCTACAAAATGAAGACTGTTTAATATTTATGAAAGGAGAACGAAATGCAGCCACACATAATCCAATTGCGATAGTATCATCGTGATGATAGAGTTTGGTCAAAACAGGACGGAAAATGGCACTAAGGCATCACGTTTGAACGTTGTCAATCACGCGACATCATCTGTCCGTAAGATGGTGATTACGAAATTTTTTGACGTGAATCACTCAGAATAAATATAACAGTATTCACCTTGTTTCTTAAGGCACTCAATGCCTGTCGTGAAGAAAAAACTTAGATAAATAGCTCATTTAAGTAACTTAAATGGTTCGCCTTATTTGGTTATAGCAACGAATGTTGCTAAAGGATCACTGTTGCTGTCTTCATCAAAGCTCCTATGATATTATGATATTTTCTGTGAATGATTACCTCCCCTCGTCTTCCTTGTGGTCCTTCAGGTCCTGGTGCTCCCATCGGTCCTGGTGGTCCCACCATTCCTTGCTCACCTCGCTTGCCTACAACCGGACATTCATTTTATCAGCATCTTCACAGAATGCTCCATCCATATGCAATAATGTATAGTGGCACTTACCGTCGAGTCCAGCAAATCCGGTGGCACCACGCGGTCCTTGAGGACCTTTGTTTCCGGCCGGACCTGGAACACCAGGTGGTCCAGCTGGGCAAATGATGCACGGCTCGTTTATGACACCGTCCAGTTGCAGTATGGCACCGTTTCGACCAGGCTCACCATCCTGTTAGACATGAGCACATTGACATATGATTTTATTACAGTGATGTGTGATGGCTCATGTCTCTTCGAGCGTTTTTGTGAATTGCTTTTCATAAACAACTGACTAATGATAATCTCATGATCAATAAGTTACAATAGTTTTTTATATTTCCATAGTCATTCAAAGACTTTCAAGGCACATTCTCGAATATGATCAATTACCTTGCCAGATACACCGTCTTTTCCATCTTTACCATCATCACCTGGCTCTCCAGGTGCTCCAACAGGCCCTTGTTGGCATGTACAGCACTCACTGTGGTCAGACGCACGTTTGCTATCGTCAAGAACAGCGCTGTTAGCATCGGGTGAATATCCTGATGGCTGAAGCAAAATTTTACTGACATTCAGAAATCACTTTCCGAAACGTTGTCAGACCNCAGACCGAAAATATTAAACCGAAATATTACTGTTAGTATGCCACAAAGACGACCATAATCGTCAATACTAATTTGTTAAGGTTTTTATGCAAAGTCTGAACTACTTCTGTAATAAAGTTATTCGAAATTGCAAGAATAATGTCAGTATCAATACGAACTGGATAAATTACAAAGATCGTTGCTAGAAAATTGAATTTGTGAATCATTCTTCAGAATAGTCCACAAAACGTTTCCTGACTTCGTATTGAACAACCTATTTCTACGTTATGAATTTCCTAAACAAAATCAGATTGTTCCGTCAGTTTTGTTGCTTCAAAGAGTATCAATTTACGTTCATTGTGATTAAAATCAGAGCTTGAATTCAAACAGCAGAAAGAACGAATATCATTTACAATTTTCGATGCTGAAATATTATTCTTTCGAATAATCCACAAAAACTATTACCTCATCATCGCCATAGCCGCTTGCTCCACCTCCACCAGCACCACCATCCGGAATCCACTTACCGAACAGCCAACCTCTCTTTTGCCGAACTGGCTCTCGATTTTGCAACACGAACATTTCATGCCACATATCTCGGGAACTCATCTGAACATGTGACGTGAATTTCTTTCTCTCTTGCACTTGCATTCATCATCTCCGCACCAAAATTGAATTTTTCAAAATCGACATCTCTACCATTGTTCATGTTTATCTCTTACGAGTTCTACCACAAAAATTGATCTCATTCTATTCATTAACTTCCAGAGTTTAATTTGTAAACACGTTTCGAATGAATCGCTTCTGTTCGTTCAACTGTATGACACAATAGAACTATTTTCGTAGTGCTACTTCTATGCATTCACTACAGTGCATACCCGACAATAAGTGGTTTCGTCCAGAACGCGATTCTGTAGCGTATGAGCGTAGCTGTAGAGAACCGGAATGGTTACAATCGCCATCAAAGTTGCGCACATCGAAACTGATACAGCCACAATCGCAATCCATCTCATTTGCCTAAAAGCTTACTGATCTAATNGAACGATCCATCGCTGAGGTTGTTGCTGAATCGAAATGTTTCATTTCGGTTTGAACAACCAACTTATATAGTGATCTTCGATTTTATAAACCCCATGTTATTAGAGACTATCGATGATAACCGTCAGCAAAATGAGGTCAATTCATAAGTTGTGCATTCCGATGAACGCAAACCTGCATGCACTAATGAGACATAATGTCTTATTGCAACTCGATCATGCACTGATAACGGATGAAATTAGGGCCATGCAGAGTGAAAGCAATTAATTCATAACGGTTATGAAACAGCAAATAATAATCAACAACCAGTTTGGAGTATAATTACCGTTCTGTATTCAAACTCGAAGTGCATTCGTTCATATTCGTCTGAATATTTCAAATAATTTTGAGTTGACAAATGTTTCATTTAAGGCGATAGGCATTATTGCCTTTGTATTGAATATGCATACATAAGGATAATCGTCATATCTCGTACTTTAAATGAACTATATTCAAACGTCGTATTTTGGTGTCACCTTTTGTGATTGTTGAAATGCATTACTTGAATGAAGACAAACTTTGAAGAAACTGAACATCCTTGTGAAGGGAATTTCATCATTGATAAAATTCGATTAAGACAGCCTTGAATCGAAAAATCTCAACTGACCATAAATTTAGCTTAATCATTCATGAATGCACTGGTTCTATACAGATTTAAACAGTTTCATAGTTTTCTGCTTCAACGAAGATGAANCTTCAAGTATTTTGCAAAAACAAACCTTTTGCATGTTAGCATGGTGACTTTGGATTCAGAATGAGAATTTGCATACCCACATGCGAATATTACTGTGTTATTGCAGCAGATGATCGTTTTCAGTTAAGAAGATAAAAAATAAATCAAGAATACATCTTGTTGGAATAAACATCAGATGGTGAAAAACAACAAAACTCCGAAGATTTGTCAATATTCATCCTCATGATGAATGATAATAAAAATGTACCCTTCCACTTTTGTTCTCAGTGATTCATGCATTTTGTTGTTTTGTTTTCGTTATGCAATGGCGGATGACTTCAAAACATCCAGTGATGAAAACCAAAATACAATAGTCATTCTTCTTATTTAACTGTTCATTCATAAATGTTTTCGAATTGTCCATTTATTGACGTTAGCCATCACTTATTCAGAAAGTGAATCCATTATCTCCGGACCCTTCAAGAACAGTTCTCTAGCGAGATTTATTCGTTTAATGATGAAGGGATTTTAGAGAAAATTCACATCAAAAACGGTTCTGCTACCGGCAATCGCCGAGTTATGCACTGTAGTATAACGGAGACTTCCAGTTGTCGCATTTATAATGATTTATTAAGATTTGATTCAACAATCTATCGGTAATATCGCTCTCTATACAGTGCGTCAATTCTTTGTATCTTCCGTTAATTCTCGGTGAGATTTCTGTTTTTGAGAGTGAAAGAAAGACGAGCCGAATGATATACCGATACCGAATGAATGCGAACGAAGCCATAGTGATGATTTTTTATACACGTCCAATCAAAAAACGAAATTTCGCGAAACACATACGTTCACAAGTTGAGTAACAAAAATACTCACGGTCTGAAGACGAGCATGATTCATGAAGAGTCATATCGCACTGTATAGTTTAACAATGGTGAATGACATTTGAAACTATCGCGTTATCGCACAGAAATTAGTGAATGCAATATGAATAGGATATGGATGCGTATTTGACGACACGTTGATGTATCAATGCTTACGGCGATTTGAGTCGAGTTTTCGTTTACAAATTGCATTCTTCACAATTTTTGAACAACGGACAGCCTTCCGTTCGAATGTTCCATTCTCTTTGTTCTTGAATAAACCAACGCAGCGCTTGATGGGCAATTCCTCCTCGTCAACATTTTTTTTATGAGTATCATCTTCACCTGCAATGGCATCTTGTTTTCCTTAATTATATTTTGAGTTCTTTTCTGTATTATTCGATTTTTCTTTAATACCTTCTGTTTCGTTCATATTAATCCGTAGGATAGTTTTGACCAAATTTTCTTCCGAATGGCTTGCGATCCGTTCGAGTTTCTCGTTAAGTTTGGCGTTTCTTTGTTGAACTTGACCTTCCTCGTTGAGATAATCTGCCTGAAAAACACTTTTTTCCTGTATTCATGTCTGCTTTACAACTCAGAGAAGAGAAACGATCCTCAAATTTGATGAATATGGATATTTTTAACAGTCATCTACATGGCTACTCAACCGCCATGGAGAAATTTTTGTAATCTTTCATGATACGTTCGCAATGGACGGACACCAAGCCGAGGCCTTTCCCAGAGTTTGCGTCAGCACCCAAATGTTCTTGTTCAGATGTCAAATTGCTAAACGCGCTCTCGATGTAAGTGGAATGATCTCACAGACGGTCCTGTGAGAATAACCAAGACTTTTTCATAGTTGATAAGTGACAGTTGGGAGAAAGTAATGCAAACTCGAGTTGATACCTCAGTTCTATCTGTCCACAGCCAAACATATGGCTCTGAATCTTCTTCTGAGTATGCCCCGATATAAGCTTCTGTTACGTGGCAATAATCCAAAATACCTGTAAGATTGTTTCCGTTTGTGAAGATCGCAGTCAAATGTTCTTTCAGTAATACGAATTTTTGTAATAATGTTTCATGTTAATCATCATACTGCTAGATATTCCTACGACCGAAATTGCAGCACTTCGCTTAACAAACAATTATTTCGATGCAAATGTTATCATTGTCGCCCTACACAAAACCGCGCTACAAAGTTCAACTTAACTCCATGCCTCATCTAACCTTTATCCTCAACCAGCGTAACAAGTTATCCTTGAACGTTCATCTGTCAGCTGTCACCATTACAAAGATTATTTTTAACACCATACTGTGCCACTGCTGCATGATTCACTCTTGTATGTTCAAAGAAGTTCTAAAGTTGACAATATTTTCGTAATAATAAACTCACCCGTTAGTAGTTTCTCGTGTTCCAACGAATAAAGTGGAGTTAGTTCAGAATCTCTCAGTATACAATGAAGATTATAGGAAAGCCAATTGAAGTGTCGAGAGACAATCTGAAAATTTGAATCACTAATCAGAATATCAACTTGGCGATCAATTTCGTTGGGTGTTCCGAAGCGATGGTACATATTAAGGAAATTGCATTGATTGAACAATTTGCAAGAGTTGAAATNAATTTGCAAGAGTTGAAATGTTATTGAAATAGTTGAAAATTGAAGTTCATGATGTTTTAACGCTGTGAATTTTTAGAGATTGTAATAATTATAATAATTTTGATTTGAATTTGTTCCCAATGTTTATTTGTTATGTCTCAATTTATATAATTTTGTTTCCTTTGAAACGATAAAGTTGGCTATTAAAGTTATGTTTCGAGTGCTATTGGATAAACAACATTACTTTCTCAAATTTCATCAAAATTATCGTTTATTCAGCTAAAAGTGCTCTTTAATGATTCTGGATCAGAGTGACCTGAATAAGCGTTTGGTGAGGAGAACTCTATATGAATGCTAACGTATGACTAGAACATCGTATTCGCTTTTTCATGGATACGTAATTTGGATATTAACGAACCCTGCTTGACTGATAACAACAAATGTTGTCATGATTTAAGCAAACCTGATATTCAGAGTCTCCAATTCTGATCGCTCTATCACAATGCATTTTTCTACGTGGTGGCAACTTGAATTTTTTGACCGGTTTCGCGGACTCTGTAATGCTCGTTGCAAATTGGCATGCTTGTAATGCAAAAATACCTTTACGAATTCGCTATCTCCTATCAAATGTTACCAAAAGGAATTGCTGATTTCAAGAGTATACCTTTAAGGACTCATTCGTACAATAATTTCTGTATGAAACATCATACGTTTTCAACAGTACATCCGTTCATCGCAACAGTTCTTGAAACTGCTACAAACAAACACGCAAGTATTTTAGGATGACAATGCTAGCAATAATTGTCAGTATAATAAGAATTCATTGAACTGCCTCCTAATGAGCTGCAAATAGCATTGATAGCTACAAATACCATGAAGGATCTTTAAGAGCTTGTATTGTTTCATTGCGCGAACAACAAAAACGTGTTATATTTATAAAGGATTCTCACAGTGTGTAGAAAGTTTCATTACAATATGCTGAAAATGATCTGTTCCCTGCAACTGTTCGTTAACATTTTTTCCGTAAGGCTTTGTGACATACCAGTCAGCCTACACTTCCTCACTATGAGGTCAACTTAATGGCTTCACGATCAGTTCTCATAATCTCATGGAACGTTTAGCAATAAGAAATCTTATGGAAACCACCATCAATACTGCACAAGTTACGCCTCAGCGAAAATAAGTGTTTTAGCAGTAACGCCTATGTCATGCTGCAAAATCATTGGTGACGTTAATGGCAATCATGACATCAATAAGTAATTCAGTGAAAACGGATGCAAAAGGATTTGAAGTGTGCAAAAATTCCATCG